AGAGAGAGAGAGAGAGAGAGAGAGAGAGAGAGAGAGAGAGAGAGAGATTGTCCACTACCAGGCACCCAGCCTCCAGCCAGCCTAGTCTATATCTGTCTGCACTCTGCTGCTAGGTCGCTAAGCTAAATATGATGATCTTCAACAGCACTTCAAGGCTAATTAGTCAAGTGGAGGGATCCACAGGCTTGGTGAGGGAAGCTTCTCAGCCGGGTTGCCAGTGGATACGAGAGTCTGTGCGTGTGCATCTGTACGCTAGTGTGTGAGAGAACGAGAAGGAGAGGCAAATAAGAGGAGGAGGAGAAAACCGAGGGTGGGAAGAGGGAATAAGAGAATAAGACAGCTGGAGAGGAGACAGAAAGCAGAAAAGAGCCAGAATGTGTATGAGAGAGGGGGAGGGAGGGAGAGAGAGGGGGGGAGAGAAAGAAGGAGGGACTGTATGTGTGTCAGAGTCTGAGGCAAAACAGTGGCTAAAATGGGAGTCTGTGCACCACTTTGATACTGGCAGACACCATGGGCTCTGTGAGAGTGTGAGTGCCCAGGTGTGTGCTTCTATGTGTGCATGTTTGTGGAAAGACAAAGCACGAGAGGGGGAAAAAGCCAGGTGTGATCTGAAGGTATAGTGTCAGTGTTTTGTGTTTGTGAATGACAATGCTGACAATGTGAGCTCAGGTGAGCTGCAGACCACGATCCAGCTCAGCCCTCTGGACATCAGACAGCAGGTTAACGACGCACTGTCAAGTGTAAAAGTGGGACGCATCCTGCGCATGGCGCTATGTGGGTCAGAGGCCCTCAGGTGCAAGCTCACCAGCAGCTTTCGGTTGTTTGTGTGTGCGCGCATTTGTTTAGATATAAAAGGTGCTAACTACAACCATATGGGTTCTAGTTTGTTAACCCTGGCTCTTTTGTTCTACCTGTAACTCTTTCAGAGGGTTCTACATACAACCCAACATAAAGGAGTATACCTAGAACCATCTGTGAAAGGTCCCACCAAGACCCCTTTGAGAAATTCTACAAGCCTTCGATTGTGTAATTGTTTCACCCTCTGTAGGTGAAAACAAGAACTCACCTAGGGGGCTGTATTCTAAGAACCCTTCTATATTCCAAGGGTGTTATCTAGAACAATAAAGGGGCTGATGTGGAGCAGAACAACCCGCAACAATCATGGTTCCCAGTCACAATTTTTTTATGGGGCGTGTGTGCTGGATTGTGGGCGCTTTCAAAAATTCTTGAAGAACCCTTTCCTCCAAAAACGGTTCTTTGATTATAAAGGGTTCATAATGGAACCTCAGTTTTGCAAAGAACCCTTGACAAACCCTTTCTTCATAAATGGTTCTGGGTAGAACTTTAGCCATCCAGGAAGAACCCGTTTGGAACCATGGACTTTCTAAACCTGTTATTATGTGCATTACATCATTTTTTCCCCACCATTTTGGGTTTCATTGGCGCTCTTTTAATCAAGCCACCTGGTTGCGCCCTCTTCTTCTGCAGTGGTTTAATGGCACCTGAGTGAAGAATTAGAACTTACCAACTCCTGATATTGGCTTAACCATATTTTTTCTGAGCTAGGGTAATCAGCTGCTGGACGTAGCTTTATATTTACCATAGACAGCGTTGTATCAATCTTCATATCTAACTTAAGACAACAAAGCAAATAAGTGATTTCCCAAAATGGAAAACAATTTCTTGAACATTTTAGGAAAGTAAATATGATCCTCCTCTCATGCCTAACCTAAAAAGTTTGAGCAACATAATTATGGTAAAGTGCATAGTCAGAGTATACCAATCAAGTCTGTGTAAAGTAAAATCTGAGATTTGTTTCTCAACATATTGTACATAGTTAGAAAAGAATTGCTGAAAACCTGAAATGACTGTGAATTATATCATACTGAATTGTGGAGTTATACCATTTTTCACAATTTTTGTGTTTAGGATTTCTGGGGCAGGCCTGAAATCACGGTTTGATGACCCAAGCCAACAGTTTGCTATTTAGCAGTGGTGTACCGGCCATTCTGACATACCGGGACAAATCCTGGTGGGCCACCGCATTGGTGGGCCGGTGGATTGTTATTCCTGGTGCGCATGAGAGCGTGCAATCTTTCAAATTTGGCTTTGTGGTTAGCAAAACATTTTTTTCTGTGGCGTGACAAACAGAACATATGTATTTGTGCTTTAAGCGGAATTTAAGAGCACTATCAGCAGAATAGGTGGCCAAGGAAAAGGTACGGCATCCCTCTTGCCAATACCAATTTCCAAACACATCTCCATTTGTTACAAAAGACTAATGTGTAAGGAAACAGCCTTCTAAAAGCTGCCCTCCCTCTCTCTGCACTCAAACAAATCATTCACAGCTAGAGAAAGGGCACCGACCACTCACAGTAAAGTGTCTTTTTTTTATGATTGAATCATGGATAAAATCACGTGGTGTGACGGATGTCATAGTTCCCATGGCAACGCGCTGCATTCATAGAGCGAAAGGACAAGTGAGGAAATGCACATAAAAGTGCACCTACAATGTAGATGAAACCAGTGGCACTTAAAAATGGCCTTGCTCACAAACCACTGAATTCCCATGGCTGAATGACACCCCTCTGTCACAAGCTCGCACAAAAACACACCGAATGAAACTGGCCTCACTCGATGCTGTCTGGAGCGACCAAAAATTCACTGTCTCCAAGAGGACTTGAGTGAGATAATGAGCTTCGACAACAAAAATGACTCCATTAATGATTTCTAATCACCGACATTGTGATCAAAAGCTTAAAAACGTGAGAAGGCAGTGTCTTCTCATTATCATCATCACTTGAATAAACCCTAAGAGGCAAAGCAGCTTTATTTATAGAGCACATGTCATTACCGGGAAACTCAATGTGCTTTACATTTGAACAAAAACAAAAGAAGAGGTATAAAATGAGGTCCACAGAGACTAAAAGCACTTTTACCAGCTCCTTCTTAAACGCCATGAGTGGCATTGCCTTTAAAAGCTCATAAAAGGTGAACATTTTCCCTAGATGCAACTTATTTTTCATGTAACAACAGCACCTGGTTGCTGTTAGGACAAAGAAACAACTGCAGTGTATTTCACTGACTATATTAATATCTGTCTTTTACAGGCTCCCAGAGGGCCCCTGTATCATCCGCCCCATCACTTTAACTCACACTCTGCAGGTGTGCGGCTTTCAAGTATCTCTTCCATGCCGGTTGATACCTTCTACAAATGGCCGGTCTGGTCTTATAGAGTGATGCATGGAATAAAATCATTCTGATAACGTAAAGAGTGAGAGGAGGGGAAGGCGAGACACTGTAAATGGGGCAAATATGCAGAGGTACGCATGTGTAGCCTGCAAGTAGTTGGACACACGCTAGCACAACCATGCACATGCACACACAAACTTGCATTTTATTTTATTTTTTTACAAAGTCCTTTCAACCCAGTATCCTTATATCCATTACAGCAAGTATTGTGCTGTATACAGTATGTAGTGAGGTGTCATGTAAAGGTGTGGAGGTTGGGCTTATGGATTGGCATATGGTGTAAACAACTTTCGTGCAGAAGATCAGAGTTTGTCTCTTGTCACATATAAGCAATTAACAACACAATCTTTCCCTCAACGGCAACCAAGTGTTTAGCTACTGAACCCTAACATAACCTTAAAGTACCTTTAATCAATATTTCCGTATCAAAATTGGACCACAAAAAAGTGTAAAATACCACTGTACACGCTACCTGCACATCAACCAAACAGCAGACAGTCAAACTAGCTAGTGAACAGCAGCTTTGCGTTTCCTGAATTTTTAAAACAGGCAAATGTGAATGGGTTCACCAGATCAACTAAAGATGTGATATACAGTATGTCAGTTATGTGTCGCTTGTTTCCATTGCCTCATTATTTTGGTTTATTTCAGTTACCTAACCCGAACCAAAACCGAACCTCTGTAGTTGCCATCACCACAATTTGTACTCTAATCTTAAGCACACCATGGCCAGCTGCTATCGCAAAGGTGAGATGCAAAAAAAAAAAAAGCATTCATGACAAAAATACATTCCAAATGTTTTTTTTTCTGAAAGACTGAGGTTCTACCGAGAACCATTTGCTTCTGGTTTTAAAGGGTTCTTTGAAAGACTAATGTTCCATTAACAACCCTATTCATCCAAACAACCCTTTTTGGGTGAAAGTCTTCTTCGAGGGTTGTGTTTTTTGAAACATTGCTTTGTTTTGACCCTCAAAGCCACCGTAGTTAATGGTTTCCATTACATCTTTGCTCACAAAATGTTGTTGAAAAATTGAGGCAACCCACATGTCTATTGTATGCACACAAACACAAATGCACAGACACAAATGGTGCTCTTTTCTACAGTATGCTACAAAAGCACATACATGCAAACAAAGAGCGGTGTTTAGAAGGTGCTGGTGCTGGCATGCATGAACACACAGGCACAAAAGCACATGCATGCAGGGTATTGTTACCCAACACACACACACACACACACACAAAAGAGCGAGAGACTTTTTTGCCATTTAGTAAAGGGAAAGCTGTGCGATACAAGCCTGTGCGCTCCCACTATCTGGCTGCTCGTGTGAAGACTCTCTCTTGTCTTGGGGAATCAGAAGTAGGCCGAGTCAGTGGATGTGCTCATTTATTTCATACACTATTACTGTGGATCACAGCCAAGGACATTCTCGCTTAAAATCGCCATGCTGGGGAATTTCAGCCATAAAGAATTAATCAGATTTTTAGCAATATGGGATTATAAAGAAGATACGGCACAGTTCAGCTACAAGATGTAATTCATGTGACTTAAACACTGACCATGTCGAAAGCGCGATGGTACTTCAGGGGTTCATACCGTAGATTGGGAATTGAGAAAGCAATTAGTCGTGAGAAAATGTGCCTGAATTATATTGCGGTATATATTAAACAAGAGTAGGTTATAATGACGTATATATATATATATATATATAT